GAGAAGCGAGAGCAAGACAAGATGGTCCTAGCACCACAAGAGAAGATCATCCTAGCACCACAAATTGGTTAAGTGATGATGAATATAGTAGTTTTTGTAATTGGAGCCCATAAATTTCCAATCACTTTGGGTTGTAATTTATTATTTATTGAATATAGTACTTTATGTTGTTTCCAATTTATTGAATATTTATTCAAATGAATTTGGTAAGTTATTTATACTAAGAGAATATTTATTCAAATGACAAAAACACACCAAATAAAATTACATAAGCATACCGAATAATAAAAAACTCACTAAAGCTGAACTAAAAAAATTACATAAACATACCAAATAATAAGACACACCAAATAAAATTACATAAACATACCAAATAATAAAAAACACACTAAATGAACTTAATTATCTTCAGCTTGTTTCAATGCCCACTGGTGCTCTATCAAGTCATTTTGTTGGGCACTGTGCATGTCTGGCATTTGAAATGTAGTATATTGTTGAATGACCCTTTCATTGTAATGTCCATCCCTTTGTAATGGCTCATGTTGCACGAGCTCATCGATGGCGTCATGAGCACAATATATACGTATTCTTGAATTGTTCATCATGTCTGGCTCATATTCATCAACGGCTTCATAATCGTACTCATCTTCCACAATCATGTTGTGAAGAATGATGCATGTTATCATGATGGATCGAAACGACTCTACATCAAACAATCTGGCAGCACCCCTGATGATCGCCCAGCGAGCTTGGAGGATACCGAAACAACGCTCCACATCCTTCCTGCACCCCTTTTAATAGCTTGCAAAGTGTTTTTTCCTTTGCACTTCGCGGACGTGGCACTGTTTTGACAAATGTTGACCACCTTGGGTAAATGCCGTCAACTAGGTAGTATGGTCCGTCGTACATACGTCTGTTGACCTCATACGTGACTTTTGGTGCCTTTCCTTGTAGGACATCATTGAACACTGGGGATTGGGTAAGGACGTTGAGGTCATTTTGAGCTCCTGGAACCCGAAAAAGGCGTGCCAAATCCATGTATCAAAAGATGCCACCGCCTCGAAAATGATACTTTTTGCTCCTTTTCTGTCCCCATAAGCGCCTTGCCATGCACTTGGATAGTTTTTCCCCATCCAGTGCATACAATCAATGCTTCCAATCATCCCAGGAAAACCACGCATTTTGGCCTTCTTCAGAAGCCTTTGCAAGTCCATGTTTGTAGGTTTCCGGAGGTACTCTGCGGTGTAAATAGATTCGATTGCTCCGCAAAACCTCATCAGGGACTCAAGAATGGTTGATTTCCCCATTCTCGTTATCTTATCCACTTGGTCTGCAGATACTCCATATGCAAGCATCCGCAAGGCAGCTGTAATTTTTTGTTGAGGAAGGAGACCCATAGCACCAAAAGCATCATTCTTTTGCACAAAGTAAGAATCATGGTCGCAAACAGCAATCATGATTTTGTTGAATAAATGTCGTTCCATTCTAAAACGACATCTAAAGTACGTATCAGGGAATGCACTATTACGGACAAAATAATCGTCCAAGAGTTCCGTACCTTGTCATTGCCTGCTTCTATCAAGGTTTCCGGAATGGCTGGGCCCGCAGATCTGAGCCACAGCTTGGATGACTCGACAGGAATGTGAGGCTCTGCCCATTCTTGCTTCGTCATCTCTCCTTCTACGTTCCTCATCCTCTTCCCTTTCATTTTTTGCCACCTAGAGATTGAACATTCCTTCTGATTGGTTAAACAATTCTTCCTCTTGCTGATCGAGTTCCCACATCATCCTTGAGGAAGAAGAAGACATTGTAAGAAAGAAGCAGAAACTATGAATAATGATAGAGATTTTTGTGAAGAATGAAGCAGAAACTATGAATAATGATAGAGATCTTGAGAAAATTGGTGTGAGATTTGTGAGGATGGATGGTGGATTATATGGAGGATTCAGAAAGGATTAGGTTATAGATAGTGCCACGTGGCATGCCGTTATTCGCTAAAAATCTGATGAAAATCTATCCTCAAATATTGTAAACAGATTATGACACGTGGCACAACGTGATTGGTTAATAATCTTATCAGAAATCCATCACCAATAATTGTATTTTCGGATAATGACACGTGGCATGCCGTCATTCGTTAAAAATCTGATGGAAATTTATCCTCAAAGATTGTAAACAGATTATGACACGTGGCGCGACGTGATTAGTTAATAATCTTATCAGAAATCCATCACCAATAATTATATTTTCGGATAATGACACGTGGCATGCCGTCATTCGTTAAAAATTTCATGGAAATCTATCCTCAAAGATTGTAAACAGATTATGACACATGGTGATGCGAGAATTATACGCACACAAATTAAACCCTCTTTTTATCAATTGTAGTATAAGTATAAGTAGGGATCGTTCTTAACCGGGGATTAGGAGGGATTGCAAAATCACTTGGAAACTGACTCAAAAACGTAAAATAAAGTTTAAAACACTAAACTAGACTCAAAGAATGCAAAACTAAACATTTAAAACACTAAAACAAACCAAAGCACTCAAAACAGCCCCAAAACACTCAAAACTGCCTTAAAAACACAATCTAGGCAGTTTTGAGCACTTTGGTGAATTTGGACGAATGTGTGTAATAAATTGAATCAAAACACTTACAAACACAAACTAAGACACTTTAACACTAAACTAGACTCAAAGAATGCAAAACTAAACACTTAAAACGCTAAAACAAACCAAAAGACTCAAACAGCACCCAAAACACTCAAAACTGCCTTAAAAACACTTTCTGGGCAGTTTTGAGCACTTTGACTACTTTGGACGAAATTGGGTAATAAAATGAATCAAAACACTTAGAAACACAAACTAAGACACTTTCTAACTAAGTTGGACACTAAAGCAAAGGGGGATTGAGTTTTTGACGAATTTGAAAACAAAACTTAAAACTTTGTAAAACGAACAGATTTTAAAACGAATTTGGATTTAATGAATGGAATGGAAGCTAGCTAAGGGGTTCATCTCCACACATGTTACACTTGCATAATAAAAAGATTTCCAATTGCATTTCAATAAACCATGAATTCTCAACACCCCAAGTTAACCGTGATGCACTAATTAACCTTCAAATCTTCCTAACGTTATTGAATTGGATGATTGCATACGACAACCCAAAACATTCCCCACAAGTCCCCTACATGATTGCATAATAGAGATACAAGCAAGAATCATTACGCTCTATGAAAATTATAAGTGTTGACGAGGCATTCGTTACTATGATTGCATGAAACTTATGCCAAGAATTCGTTTAACGCGATTGTTTATAAGCAACCTCCACTACTTGTGAATATAAGTTCGTAACTATTAGGTGAAACTCACTTATATTCTAGCGTCATATTCATGCATGAAAATTAAGCGTGCACTCTCAATAAACATACATAAATAAGTTATCAATCAAACAGTTAAACAAATTGAATCCATAACTTATGAAACGCAATTAGAAGTAATCAAATCAAAATGCAAGCATAAACATATATTTCGAATCCCCCCCTAGCCAAGGGGGGGTTTAGTTCCTCATACGTACAAAACAAAGAGAATTGAATTTAAACATTGAATTCAAAGGAAAAGAAACACCTAAAAATTCCAACAACTCAAACTTGAATTGTATGAACGTTTAGGCCCTTCTCCTCCTCTTTGTTGCGGCACAAGGTCTAAGGATAGGTTTTGGGGGTTATGGATGGTGTAGAATGATGTGTTTAGGATAGGGATGGATGTAGGGGACTTCAAAGCTTATTTTTGGGCAGAAAATCTAAAGAATGGTGAAGTATGGCTGTGTTAGAGAGAGGGAATGAATTTCTGGCGTGAATGAATGTGTATGAGAGGTGGTGGTTTGTATGAATGCATTGCATGGTTTTATAGGGAGAGAAAGGGGTGAATGTGCATGTGGCTGCAAGGTGTGAATGATTATGGGTGCATGTGGTTGAAATAATTAAGGGAATGCATGTGCAAAACAGCTAGGAATGGGTCTTTTGTTGATGATTGTGTTGGTGATGAATGTGGAGTGGCTGGAATGATGAAAGAATAAAGGGTGCATGTTTGAATGATTAAAGGGGCATGTGGGTTGGAAATGCATGTGGAATGGCTGGAATGAAGGGGAAGTCATGGCACAAAGGTGGAATGACAGCTAGGTTATGATGATGAATGCATGTGGATTAGGTTGGAATTGCATGTGGAATGGCTTAAAGGATGGAAGTGCATGTGGCTGCAATGTAGCCTTCTAGAAATCAGGTTTTTAGGCCCCCTTGCAACTCCCTAACTGAATTCAAGCCTTTCAAATTCGTCCATCCTCATGCCTCCATGCTTGCACTATCCAATCTTGGCCCAAAAATGCTCTAGAATGCTCCAAATTGCTTCTTTTTGCATACTTTGACACTAAAACCTGAAATTGCACGAAAATAACTTTAAACACTATAATAACTAAAGAAACACAACGTAAATGCACGAAAACAAGCAAACTAAGACGCATAAATATGCTCCTATCACATGGCGCGACATGATTGGTTAATAATTTTATCAGAAATGCATCACCAATAATTGTATTTTCGGATAATGACACGTGGCGCAATGAGTACAATTAAAAATTTTATCGGAAATCCATCCCCAATAATTGTCTTTTTGGATTTTATGACAAATGTCGTAACGAGAACGATTAAAAATTTTATCCGAAATTACAAATAAAATTATTTTGTATTATTTAATAATACTTCGGATAATGACACGTGGCGCAACGAGAACGATTAAAAATCTTATCCGAAATTACAATTAAAATTATTTTGTATTATTTTATAAATAAAAAAAATACTAATATTTTATTACCTATTGTCAGGGCTATTGAAGTGCAACGATGGAGAAGCAAAAGGCGATTACTGTTCATTAAAGGCAGTTACTGTTCACCAAGTGGATAGCATAGTGTATTGCCTGGAGGGAGGTTTCACACGCTGGAGTTGCTCTAATAACCCAGCCACTTGATTTTTGGGAATGGCAAATTTTTCTTTAATGAATAATTGCATACATCTTTCAATTCTTTGTATAGTCACAAAAACATGAAGAAGTAAAGAAAAAAACAAAATTCACACACATATAGCCCACACCACCTTTGAAGTTTGAAGGGTCTTGAGTTTGAATACCCCTACTCCAATATCGCTTGTCTCAAAAAATAACAATTAAAAAAAACCTATGTTGTGCTCATCCTTGATGTACTAAAACTAGGTCTTTGGTGATCTTTCACTTGCTAACAACCTAGAAAGCCCAAAAGAAGATCTATGTGACTCATTTCCAAGTGGCATTGGCCTGTCTGGTAATTTTGGAATATCAATGTCCCCCTCCAACATCTTTAGTGCCTCAGAAATTGTAGGCCTAAAAGCCACCATAACATGAGCACAAAGAATTCCAACAAGCACGAACCTCTCCATAACACCCTTTGGTCCTTCCTCCCTTACTGCCTCATCAAAAATTTCCTCCACATTCCCTGACTTCAGAGCCATCCACGCCCAATCTGTGATCAACACGAACGCGTTTGAATCCGAACTCGATGTCTCCAAGACTTTCCTTCCACTCATGATCTCAAGAATCACAATGCCAAAGCTGTAAACGTCACTCTTCTCTGTTAGTTGTCCGTAGAGGGCATATTCCGGCGCCAAATAGCCGTGCGTGCCGGCAACCCTAGTGGTGAGGTGAGATTCACCATCGGAACTTTGCTTGGCCAATCCAAAGTCTGCAACTTTAGCCTTCATTTCCGAATCCAATAGAATGTTTGTGCCCTTTATGTCTCTGTGATAAATTGCAGGCTTGATCCCGTTGTGCAAGTAGGCAAGCCCCTTTGCCACATCAATGATTATGTTCTTGCGCTGAGGCCAATTCAATCTCTTCTTTCCAGACAATTGATCACTTAAATTCCCATTCGACATCAGATCATAAACCAAGAACCTTCTTTTCCCCTTCAAATCATCACTCGTCACACAACATCCTCGAAGCGAAAGAAGATTCCTGTGCCTGATTTTGCTTATGATTTCGACCTCATTTGAAAACTCTTCGTCCCCTTTCGAGTCCAAAACAAGAACATGCTTCACTGCAACCAAACTCCCATCAGAAAGTGTTCCTTTGTACACAACCCCATACCCGCCTTGTCCAATCATGTTCTTCTGAGAAAATCCATTGGTGGCTCTTTCGAGCTCGGACACAGCGTACCATTTCGCACCCGAATTGGGCAAAAAGCTAGTTCTAAAACTTGTCACATACTCTTCATGCATTGCAATTTGCTTCTCTTTCTTATCATGCTTCCTGTATAGGACTATAATCCCAACACCAACCAGGACAACAATCACAGCACCCAAAACCCCAAAAACCCATTTCAGCAAAGTCTTCCTGCTCACCTGAGTGGATTGTTTCTTGTTCGCCGAGCCGGACAGAGGCAAACCGAGAATGCAAGCAGCAGTCCGGGGCTCTGCCGGACCCAACTCGTTAACAATCCCTGCAGCATACAACACAGTGTAGTAAAAGCATTTAGTCGCATTCGGGTCGAGACTCGACAACTGGGAATTCACCTTCATGCCGGCATCGACGCAGGAGCTGCATCTCGTCAAGCTTTCCAGGTCCCCTTTGCAGGATGTGTCCAGGGGGGTCATTGGCCCCACCCTCTCTGTCCAGTCCTGGATTGTGACAATCCCGGCACAACTAGCCGGGCTGGCGACGAACTGCGTCGAGTTCTCGAAGCACAATGGGACCACGGAGGGGTCGAGTTTGAGGGCGGCGAGGCGAGACTGGAGATCGGAAAGGCAGGAGGAGGAGGAGTTTGAGTTGGGTAATTGGAACATGGAGGTTTGCTTGAGGTGTTGGGATAGTCCAATCCCAAAAAGGCTGAGGAGGGTTTGGCAGCAGTGCTTTCCGGTGGGATCTTGGCAAAGTGAAGAGTCCCATGGGAGGGTATGGACATAGCTGAGATCAATGGGACAGGAGGAGGAGGTTGGATTAATTTGGGAGGTGACGGAGATGGATAGGATTAGGAAGAGGAGGGGACTAAATGGGATGGGTTTGTTCATCTTGGTTTTCTGGGGGTTCGGATAAAATGGTTGTTTTGGGACACAATTTGAATCTGTGAAATAAAAGATGCTTTGAGATGTTCAGAAGTTGAACTGAACTACTATCAACAATGGCAGGCGGATCTGGTGGTCAAAGCTCACGTTTTTGTTTTGAGATTTGTCTTTCGGCCGAAGCATTATTATTATACAAGAGTTTAGAAAGCATCCTTTTTTTGGGTCAAAGGGCTTTATAGGGAGTTAAAAAAACGGTAGATATAGCCCAATTTAGAGCTCAACCTTTGGAGCTCTAAGAAAGAATTTCTTCTAATAAGGGATTATATATCTTTCGAACTCTATATGGAACTATATATTTTATTTTGTAGTAATTTGATTATGCAGTAAATTTATTTTTGTCTTAACTTTTTTTAACTTGATTTTTGGAGTGTTATCTTAAATTTTTATTTATAAAATTTTTAATCTAAAAAAATTCAAATTCTGACAAAGTTAGATTTCATCACTTATGCACTGTTGTCGACTCTCTTATCTCAATCTCATTTGTTGGTTTGTTTCTATGAAATCAGACAAGATAATACTTCATTTCATAACAACCATTAGATTTGTTTATCTTATCTCAATCTCATCCGTTAGTTTATTTCTCTGATTGACACATTCTCCGAAATCAAAGAAGATTTTCATTTCATAACAACCATTGGATTGGATTATCTTAGCACAATTTAGTTATGTTATTTGTTTATATTTTCGGTTTTGATAGGAGCATATTTATGCGACTTAGTTAGCTTGTTTTCTTGCATTTACATAGCTAATTTCTACTTGTTAGAGTGTTTTAAGCTATTTTCGTGTGTTTTTAGGTTCAATTGACAAAGTTGGCAAGAAAGTGCAATTTGGAGCATTTTAGAGCAATTTTGGACTTGGAATGGATTGCACATGCATGGAGTAAGGTGGATGGACGAATTTGATGATCAAGAGAGGCTAGGAATGTGATTAACATCTGGAAGAATTAAATTGAAGACTTGGAAGATAAGGAATCAACTACAAAGAAGGAATATTATCCAAATTTCCTTATCTTATCCAAACCTTATCCAACCTTATCTTATCTTATCCTATCCTAATCTTTTCCTACCTTAATTCCAACTTCAAAGATGACTCATTTTCACATTAAATCACCTAAATATCATGTTCTAGAAGCCCTATTTTTGTGCCCTAAGTTTATGCTACATGTAACCTTTTTAGAAGTTCTAGAATCTGCCACAAGGACCATTCCTTGTCCTCCTTGGAATCTGATTGAAAGTGTCCTTATTCTTTGGTGATTTGGAGTCCTAATTCCTCTCATTTTTAGCCCAATTTCGTGTCTTCCCTTCACCCTATAAATACATGATGCCGCAACACTCATAAACCACCACCCTCTACCACAATGGGTGAAAGGAAGGCACGAAATTGGGCTGAAAAGGAGAGGAATTAGAACTCCAAATCACTAAAGAACAAGGACACTTTCAATCAGATTCCAAGGAGAACAAGGAATGGTCTTTGTGGCAGATTCTAGAACTTCTAGAAATGTTACATGTAGCATATACTTAGGGCACGAAAATAGGGCTTCTAGAACATGATACTTAGGTGATTTAATGTGAAAATAAGTCCTCTTTGAAGCTGGAATTAAGGTAGGAAAAGATTAGGATAGGATAAGATAAGATAAGGTTGGATAAAGTTTGGATAAGATAAGGAAATTTGGATAATATTCCTTCTTTGTAGTTGATTCCTTATCTTCCAAGTCTTCAATTTAATTCTTCCAGATGTTAATCACATTCCTAGCCTCTCTTGATCTTCAAATTTGTCCATCCACCTTGCTCCATGCATGTGCAATCCATTCAAAGCCCAAAACTGCTCTAAAATGCTCCAAATTGCACTTTCTTGCCAACTTTGTCAATTGAACCTAAAAACACACGAAAATAGCTTAAAACACTCTAACAAGTAGAAATTAGCTATGTAAATGCAAGAAAACAAGTTAACTAAGTTGCATAATATGCTCCTATCAGGTTTAGGTCTCTAAACTACCAATTTAATTTTATCACCTTTTTATGAATTTTTCAATCTAGAAAATTAAGCACAAAGCACAACATTTTTTTCGTAATCAATCACACAAAAAATAGTTGTTATTTGTATATGTTTTTTTAATCAAACAAACGGTTGAAAATAAACTCTTAAAATCCTAAACGATTGAAAAATAAACCTTAAAATCATGTTTTGAAATTGAAGATGGGGCTCACCCATTTCTAAACTTCAAAAAAAAAAAAACCAAGATTAGGCCCTTAATTTGGTGTGTGTCCCCTACTTTTTGGGGCTAGATATAGGGTTGGTTTGATATTGCTGTGCTTTGAAAAAAAAATACTTCTGCTGTGCTGTGAGAATAAATGGCTGTGAAATAAAGCAGCAGAGTGTTTGGTAAACTTTTTTTGTAAAAGTGCTTTTGGGAAAAAAAAACAATATAATAACGTTTGATAAACTTTTATGTAAAACAGTTGTGACTGTGAAATGACCAAAACCAAACTTATCTATCATATTTCTTTTTCTTCGTTTCCTCCGCTACTTCTCTATCATATTTCTTTTTCTCCATTCCCCATAACCGAGCTTAATTCTATCTTTTAGATTTTTTCCCTTTTCTCTTTTCTTTTACTTTTCTAGAACACTCTCTCTAGAATCATCTTCATTTTTTCTCCTTCCTGTCCAACTACCTCTCTGTCTCTCCCTTTTCACTTTTTCTCTCATCACCAAATTCCATTCTTTTCGCCACTTTCTCCCTCATCATCAAATTCCATTTTTTCTCATTCATTCAAAAAAAAACTTCTAGATTTGTCATATGGGTTTTTTGTTTTTTGGATTTTTCACAAGCTGAATTTCATATAGGTTTCGACAGATCGGTATTTTTGTCTTCTGGGTTTTGGCTAGCATCGTGGAGTTTGTCGACGATGTCGCAGCAGATGAAGGCGATGGTCGAGCGAAGAGCGAGATTGGGAGTCGAGGAAGCAGAGGATCTGAGTAGAGGAGAAGCGATGCCTTTCGACAACGAGCTCGACGATAAAGCTGGGGGCGACACAAATCTTCAAAGATCTTTGGTAGAGAGAAGCTGGGAGGAGCAAAAAGGGGATGATAGAGATGAAGGGAGTGTACGTGTTTGTTCGATAAAGTTCCACACTTTCTTGTATATTGCCATTTTAGTATGCCTGTAAATTTCCTTTTTCTTTTGATGTTTGGATGCGATTGCAGTGCATCTGTTTGTGGGTATTATTTTGTTTCTGGGATTTTTGTGCTTGCTGTGTTTGCATGGCTCTTGGGTTCATCTAACTGATAGGTGGAAAATTTGAGATGAAATGCTTCTGAGTAGGTGGTTTTTCAGGTTGAAAATCTGTACTTTTTGTGTGATGTTCATGACGTTTTTGGATTTCAGAGATGAGATTTTGTGGTGATTTATGTTTATGTCGTTCTATTCGAATCAATAATTTGGATTTAAGGGTAGGATTGCTAGAAACTTTCATTAAAGGGGTTACTGTTCACCTATGTTTTGAGGTTTGCACAGAAGCTGAAAAGCCAGTTTTTCAAAGCTGCCTTTTGCTGATTTTGTTTTTTGGCCTTTTTTCACCCAAAAATGTGAAAAAAAGCTGAAGCTGGAAATTTACCAAACACCAAAAATTCTCCCAGTTTTTTTTCATACCAGCTTTTTTTAAAATCACCTCAACCCATAACCTAACTCTTTGCTATCCAAGGATTGAAGTTGCTAGCCCATGTGGTGGCTATAGCCCCATTTTCCGGCCCATTGGGGATGAAATTTTTCATTAGACCTACAAATGTGGTAGCCTCAAGGAGGATAAAGCCCCCATTGAGGATGCTCTTAGTACTTGCTAGACTTGTTTTTCATGCGTTATAAATAAGTATTTTTTCCACGGATAACTAGAAGAGAATGACTTGGCCTTTTAAGATTGAGGAGTTCCTCTTCAAGATATTTTATGACTAATTTGTAGAACTTTGTGTGAGTTGTTCATGTTATAAGTTATCATGTAAAGATAATTTTTGAAAAAAACAATTCAAAACAGGATCGTTTTGTCAATCAACTATAGTAAATGAATAGACGGTTCATAATTCTTTTACCAAATTTGTCTATATGCTTTTACATAGTTCGATGACTAAATGATCTCATATTTTATTAGTTTTTTACATAAGTGATCTTTATATAGTGATTTATAATATAAATGATTTCGATTATGAGCACAAAATTCCGTTAATCTATTGCTAAGTATCTTGAGAAGGAACTCATTCTTGTTCCTAAGAAGTTAATTCTTACATAAAATTATGATAGCCTTAGTTGTTTATGCGCGAGTAGGTGATGCCAACACTCCTCGTCTCAATAATATGACATGTTAGTATGTTGTATGGTAGAATAATGATTGTCATTGCTCCTTGTCTCAATCTTATGATAATAGTATCAATTGTTCACATATGTATAAATGCATCTGGTGCTAGTACTTATCGACTCAATAATATGATATCTACTAGATAAAGTTATGAAAACATAAGTTGTACACCTGCACTTGAGTGACTTACGATATCACTCTTAACTGCATATTGTATATCACATATATCAAATTATACATTTTCAATGAAAATAGTATACACCCACATGAATCATGATGATTTTAAAAGTATTAATTCTAGAACTAACATATCAACAATTTGAAGGCTTGAGATGTATGATGAATAAAAGCAAATGTTACACATCCAAATAATTCGTATTAAATCTAATATCAAACTTTTAAACTTAATTCGGTTCTTTGTAATCAAACGTGACTCATCTTAATTCAGTTCTTATTAGATTTCTCTATCTTCAATGTTATATAGGGAAGGGGAACTCCAAAACTTTTGTATGTTCGTGCATGCATGGAACATGTCCTTGATAACTAAAACATATTTTTGTGTACAACCGGTCGTATGTGACACTTTTTATTTGTGAGGCTATAACTTTTATTTAGGTTTTTTGTTTTTAATGCCTGCTCTAGTTTATAGGTTGCGGTCATCTATAAGTGTATAAAAATCGCAGACATTCAAGGGTAGTTTAAATGTTACATACAATAATGAAAATAAAAGAATGTGGAAATTTGGAATAC